TGATAATAACTGGCAAACTTCCTGTTCAGTTATTTCACAGAAAATAAATTCCTGCATTGATTCACTGATATAACTCTCTGGTGGAATAGAGCAACTTGAGATGTTTTGGGAAAGAATGAAACCAAGATCAGTGAAATGATTATTAAATGCATTAGGTATGCCTGGAATATTAACCATTTCACCATTCTCGTTACGGATCTCAGTTATATTTTGAGATTTTTTGATTTATGAATCAAGTTATTAATAGTTTTCCACATGTTCTTAGTATTTCCTTGATTATCCCTAATCTCAACACTATAATGATGGCGAATGGACGACTTAATTAATTTATTATAAGAATTTCTAGCTGATTTGAAGATTTGCCAATCATTTTCATTTTTAGATTTCAAGGCCTTTTTCTTTAATAAGTTCTTATTTCGCTTACTATGAAGTACTTGTTTCGTAATCCAAGGGGTACGCTTCTTACCAATTTTACGGGTTTTAAGTGGTGCATGTTTATCAATAATTTCAGTAAATTTATTTTTCCAAATATACCACATTCGGTTGGAATCCGTGTATGAATCCAAATTATGGTTTTCGGACGATGCTATATCGCGTAGGAAATTATCTTCATTGAAATTTTTGAAATCACGGAACTCTAAAATATGTTCCTCTCCTTTTAACGATGGGAATGACAAAATGCCATATATTAAATAATGGTCACTAATCGTTATTTTGGAGACTCCTGCTAATATAATATTTTCCTTTTTATTGGTATAGAAATGGTCAATTAAAGATACCGAATTCTTAGTTTCCCTTGTAGGTTCGTCTATCAATTGTTTGTATTGATATAAATTAGTAATGAAATTGAGTTTTTTCGTCATATAGCCCTCCAGGGAAATTAAATCTAGGGGTACATCAGAATCCATTTTAGTTTCATTGATTGCTAAAATATCTAGTTGTTGTTTAGTCATGCATACTCGTAATTCGTCTATATGTTTTAAAAGGCTATTAATATTAAGATTAGCAATTTGGAAGCCACGCTCATTAGGAAGTAGATTATCAAACAAACCAAAATCATATTCGGAGTTTGGCTGTATATGAGGCGAATTTAACGTTGAATCTGAGTTTGGGGTAGGTTTCTCAATCAGTCAATTTGTCTCAGAGGTCCTGACTACGAGTATAAGAAATCGATGAGATGTGCTAACTTTCACGTGGGATCACAGTGAGCAGTCTCTAGTCTCCTTCAAATACCTAGTCTATTGATATTTTAACAGAACTTAACAAGAACGTTTGGCAGCGTAGGGTGAATTATTTGTCGTACATGGTTTAGACCCTACCTCAAACGAACGCAAGCTGTCACGTCTTTCGAGTATATTTCAAGTAATAAAACGTGTTTAACTTATGAGTGAACAATGTTCGTTAAATTTGGTAGAACATCTTACTATGCATGGTAATAAACGAGTGGCAAAGCTAGCCATGGCCTCAGGTCATGCCATGCTAATAAACCAGCTTCTAAAGGTTTGAATAATGCAAATCATCAAAATTTTGCACAGCATGGCCTATGATAGGGGTAGCTTCGCTACTGTAATAAATCATCTAAATCATCTATATATTATTATGTACACTATATGTATGTATCATAATTCCATTCCCAAATAAACCTTTAAAAAAATCGTGAATAATTATTCTAGACTTTTCGTAGGAGAGGTTGATCGCGCGGCGTTACAAATAGTAGTTAACTCTTCAATTAAGGTCTCATAACGAAATGACACTCGCACTCCAGGTACATTTGTTTTGTGAATGTCATTACCACGAATACCTTCTTTCCTGTAGTTGTAACCGAGCCAGTACGTTTTTACCTATAATAACAACAAGAAAACAATCCGTTACATTCAAATTTTTCACGTCACGTTGGGGCATAATTTATAGTCAGATAATATATATGACATCAATAGACCTGAACAGTCATCACTAAAGCAGTGATAAAATTGCAAATTATTCAATCATAATAATATTCTAAGGGCGCCAAGTTTATCACCCATACTTTCTAATTCACGAATATTAGGCATTAGGATAGGTTCATCAATTGAGTACCATGAGCAAAATAAAATAATCCCCATTTGGCCTTTACATTTTGCATGTTGAGTACAGTACTTACCCTATCCTCAAAGCCACTCATGACTACACTATTCCGAGCTAACTCTGACATATCAGCAGGATGAAGTTTATACACCTGGGCAGCAATACTGTATTCCTCCATCAACGGTTCCTGTATATTAAAATGCACAATCCAAAAGGTCTGAAACGTGAATGCATCGTCGCCATATTTGTAGTGGTATCAATATATGATGATCTATCAATATATGTTTTTGTTTGCACGAGTTTATGTTAATTTGTGCATGGTCACCGTCCAACAGGGATAGCTGAGATGAAACGTGTAACCACGATGAATAACATTTAACCGTGCACAAATCCTTTGTCTCAACTTAATACAGTTCAACATCAAACGAAGGTTTTCTATTTTGTGGCTTCGAAATTTCCCGGGATTCCAGACCATCATATCTTAATAGACTATGTTTAGGTTCAACAACAAAACCTACTGCAGACCTTTGTACAAAATAATTGGGGGGCTGTCAACATTGTTGTTTTTTTTGTTAAAGAGCAAATTTTGCTGGTTTTTTTCCAAATGTTGTCGGCCATTGCAGGTAATCCAACCACTAGGATCACCCTAACCAGCTGAGCGCGTGTAAAAACGGAATGTGGAAACAAATTAGACGTATAAGATAATAGTAATGGCAACTATACTCCAGGGGAAACTGCGTTAGACATATACAGTCGAACCTTTCTAACAGAATATTGTATATCTTCAATTCATAACTGGATTGTTCCTAATAATGAGGTTTAATTTATGGATTTAATTTATAGAACATCACACTAATCTTACCTTAGTAAAATGAAACTGTAAAGGATCATCTGTAGATAGCGAAACCAACAATCCTCTGGCAAAGAACTCGGGTAAAGGGTTACGATGATAGTCAAGGAATAATGAATTGTTACTAAGCGGTGACATTGCTATACCAATCTGGGCAAGGTAATACAAATACTGTAAAGCTGGTACCTGTTAAGAGAAAATGCACATATCCCATGAACAAGTGTGGCTAGGAGCGTGGGATCCTGCTTACCGCGATATCTCGTGAGATAACTTCGATGTTTTGAAATATATGTCACAATTATTGACTCGGCGAAATTGTGAAAAGGATCTCAACAATATCACAAGAATCTTTTTGGACCTATCTGACCATCTCACACCTTCCCCGGCTATGTGGGACGGGTAAGATGCCGAGATCCTGCTCTATTGAGTGTTTATATTATCCGTTACTTATCGCGCCCAGAAAAATACAAGAAATAAATTCGGTAGTGTAGTTGTGTACTTTGCCCATGTAAAAACCACCATCCCGTCTGGACGAGTTTCTCGTCCAACCTGGCCAGGATCATATAAACATGCCCTTATATGCTTGCACTATCACCATGCAGTGAGTTCCACTCGTAACTAAAATAAGATGTTCAGTAAATTGCCTTAATGATACAAGTCCTTCGCACGTTTTCACCCAATAGGCATTTACTGAACGGCTCTGGGTACGGGATTGCATGGATTTCACCATAATAAACACTAATCACAAAGCTCGCGCGCAGAAGAATGAAAACGACATCCAACATCTATTTTTTTGGGGAAGCCACTGCTTTTTTACCTTTCTTAGCAACAATCCATGCGAAATGTTTTCAGCCAGCATAAATCCACATACTAAATGTGTAGCTGCTCCAGATTCACCACAATGAGGTCGGAAGGAAAATGTATTAAAACCTCGTTCTCTGAAATTATACAAATTAAGTTTGCTTTTAGATACTCCAAGGATTTGTTACTCATTTGGCTATTTAAATAAAAAATGCTCAATTCTGACTGGTGCAACAATAAATCTTCCGTCCTCACGCATTTATACCACAAAACTAACTGCTTCAGGTCGGTGCTATACATCAGGTACACCTATATGAGAGTCTCTAGAGTAAACGTGGCTTATCTGAATACACGAAAATAACAAAGGTCGTAGCTTCTCATGCTATACAGTAAACCTCATACCTTCGCACGTGATTCAGCACCATGATGTTGCAATACATAAAATAAAGATAATATGCATACGGTGGATTTTCTTCACTTGTCCACTCAGCAGGTAGAGGACTATCTTCATGGAACATGACACCTTCATGTTTACTCTCATCATCAACACTGTCGAAACCAATCACCTAATAATTACAAGGAAAATCAGGGAACAACTAAGACAATCAGGTATTTAATGTACTGATGTTCTAACCACGTTATGATGTCCTCTGTGTATAAATTACAGTACCTGCATAGATTAGGAAATGAATAGATGGCTCACTCCTTTGATGTTTTTGACGCCGCCGGCACCCACGCATGTTCTTGCCAGAGTAATGGCGGCCTAGCAAGAACTATAATAAAATGTATTGTGAAATTGACATCCGTGCTACTAAATCCTGTATTTTTCCACTTTCGGGGGTTTGAATGGAAAAATAAATCAGAATTATAAAAATACAGGATTTAGTAGCACCGATGTCAATTTCACAATGCATTTTACTACAGTTACTTGCTAGGCCGCCATTACTCTGGCAAGAACATGCGTGGGTGCCGGCAGCGTCAAAAACATCAAAGGAGTGAGCCATCTATTCATTTCCTAATCTATGGTACCTGGGAAAGAAATGTGTGCAGTTCTGGATGAGACGCTGGATTCACGGAAACTTCCATAAGTGGCAAGAAAACATTTTCGAGTATTTCTTGAAAATTCTTCACCAAGTTTTTCGAGCGATAAATATCACTAAAATAAAAAGTAATTCATTAAAAATTCACGATTTCAAAGGTAAAGGCCGTATAACGACCGAGTTGCACGCGCGTGGGATGAGCTAACGTTTTTGAACACGCGCTGTAGTTGTTCATGCAGCTGGATAGTTTTCAGTCAGCTTTAGCCCATATGTGCACGCCATGGATGTTGAACTACTGTATTCGCGTGTGTACGCCAAGAAAATTGAATGTGATTATTATACACGTGACTTATTATACACGTGACTTGTGTAGGTCATTCATCCCGCGCGGGAAAGCGACCGTAACAGAAAACGGTCTTAATGCATTTATGGGGGAAGTTAAAATATTTAGCTGTTTTATGTTCATTGACCAATATGATATTTGGATATTTTTTATAGTTTAATTTATAATTTGCTTTTCGTATGATTGTCGTAGAGTAATCCAAGATAGTCAATTAGAAATCTGCTAGATTTTAGCAGATCACGTGACAAGCGTCCAGGCCAGTTTAGCAGATCACGTGACCAGGGTCTGGGTACGAGGTTGGTCACGTGGCCCATAGAAAATTGATAGCCTAAGCGGGCGAGGGAAAAGTCCATAGGAAAAGTCTCATATTACGTGCTTCCACTTCCGCACTTTACATTTTGATTGCAAGGGGTGACTGTTCTGTACAATCATATTTGAGACTGCTAGGTGGAATAATGAACTCCAGTTTCTTGCACTATATGCAAATGAGTCTATACTCTCTAGTCGCAACTTTCATTGTAGACGTACATTAAATACAAAATCTAAATACTTACTACAAACGTGGTATTTGAATAAGCCATCTTAGGTTATTTGAATAAACATCGTTATCAATTGCCCATTTTGCGAGCTTGTTCCACTCATCCTTCGAGCGACCGTAGATAGAAATTCGTAATTCGGAATTTTGATATTTGCTTTCTTCAAGATCTGCTATCACTTCATTTATCAGTTGAGCAAAATATCGTCCTTCGACGAAATTGTCCGTTTTCATAAAAATTTCCCGCAGACAACTTTCACCTACAAAGCAAGTAATACCCTCTATATCTACGCAACTCGCAACTATTTGTATTTTCAAAATTCTACATTAATAAATAATTATAGAAATTTATGAAAAATACATGTACCATGAATGCTATTGTCCAGCTATCTATAACTCGTGATAAGTGCAACATACAAACATACTCTTAATGATACTTTGTGTGTGTGTGTGTGTGTGTGTTGGTTTGTTATGTACTCAGGTGAATATGATGTTTGTGATGTTACTCTGAGTGTGCATCCACCCCCGGCAAGCTGAAACGTTTGCTTGACCATGGTGGGAATCGAACCCGCGACTTTTGGAATACTAGTCCAATGCTCTACCAACTGAGCTACGAAGTAAAATCGGTTCGAGTTGGTGATATTTCGGAACTGAGTCTAGTTCCTTCGATTGGACTAGTACCCCAAAGGTCGCGCGGGTTCGATTCCCTGCACCGTGGTCAGGCAAACTTTTCAGCTTGCTCGGTGTGGATGCACACTCAGAGTAACACCACAAACATCATATTCACCTGAGTACATAACACCAACACACACAAAAAGTATCATATCTTAGATTGCATTGATATCGAAGGAACTAGACTCAGTTCCGAAATATCAACAACTCGAACCGACTTGACCTCGTAGCTCCGTTGGTAGAGTATTGGTCGTATCCCAAAAGTCGCAGGTTCGATTCCCATCGTGGCCAGGCAAACTTTTCAACTTGCAAGGTGTGGATGGACACTCAGAATAACACCACAAACATCATACTTAATGATGTGTGATAATCAAAGGGAAGTCATGAATGAAACTAGACGTTTAGGATATATTGTTTTTGCCACTCGAACATAAAATCCGTATCTTCTTGCAAACGTGTAATATCCTCGTATGGAATAGATAGATAGATAGATAAACTTTATTTAACCACGCTAACCCCGTCAACCGAAGCTGATTTCCACAGGGGGTGTGTATAAAAGACATTACAGAAGTATAAACTTTAGAAAATTATTTACAGAGTATTAGAATTAGTATTAGGCATGCATTTATTAAAGTAAGTAATGGGAATATAACAATCTATTTACATTGTACATGACAACATTTGTTGTCTAATTAAAAATGTGAGCGGCAATTTTCTTTTGGAAGCATGATAGGGATTTACTCTCTCTAATTTCATTTGGAATAGAGTTCCAGAGCTTAGCACCATCATACATAAAACTCTTCTTCATATTATTGGTACGTGGTTGTGGTAGACAAAGACCACTTGAAATGTTTCGAAGTTGATAATTTGTTATATCACTCTTATACGTGAAGAGGTTTGTGAGAGACTCAGGGCCTATTTTGTTTAATGTTTTGTACATCATTCTTGCTTTTGCCTTTTTTCTTATTCTATCAAGTGGCTCCCAGCCTAAGGCATTTAAAGCAATAGAATGATCTACATCATTGCTGAAATTTGAAATAATTCGAGCAGCTCTGTTTTGTAGTTTTTGCAGTCGTTTAGATTGTGTTTCGCCAAATACATCCCAAACTTCAGAGCAATAATCAAAGTAGGGACGTACAATAGCATTGTATATAGAAATAAGCGTATTTCTATCGGCAATAAATGGTTTGACACGACGTGGAGCTGAAATTCCCGATGTTATTTTTTTACAAATATTTTCAGTATTAGTCTTCCAAGTTAAGTGCTGGTCAATTGTTGTTCCTAAAGTTTTGGTTTTATTAACTTGTCTGATTTGTTTGTTTTCAATTATAATATTTGGTTGAAAATTTGAAACATTTCTTATCATTTGTGGAGAGCCAATTAGCATAAATTCTGTTTTTGCTACATTCAAGCTAAGTTTATTGGCAATTAACCAGTTTCTTAGGTTGTCTAGATCAGAGTTTACTGCGGGCTCAACATCAGCTATGGAGTTACCAGAGGCTGTAAGATTTGTGTCATCAGCGAATAGTCGAGGTCTTGTGTTATTAAGACACTCGGGTAAGTCGTTGATGTACAACAGGAACAGCAATGGTCCTAAAATTGAGCCCTGGGGTACACCACATCTGATTAATTGTTCTGATGAAACAAGTCTATTTATTTGGCACTTCTGGTGTCGATTTGAAAGGTATGATTTTAGTAAGCTAAGAGCTTGTCCCTTTACTCCATAGCATTCCAACTTTTTAAGCAGAATGTTATGGTCAACAGTATCTATGAAAACCACCAAGTTAAACATTTTTTATCTATATTTACATACCACTCATTGGTACAGTCTAAAAG